TTAAGTTACTCATTGTATTTGCTGATTTGGCAAAATTTATTAATTTAATAATATATTTGTTGGTGATTAGGACTTTTTCACTCTTTTCCTTTTTTCTTTCTCTCTCCTCCTTCTCCTCTTCCTTTTCCTTCGGTTCACAATGAGCCTCACCACCACCGTCTCTTTGCCACTGTTGCCCGCCGCTTTTACTAACGCTTGCTGCTGCTGCCTACTTCCTTTTCCAGTGGAAGAGGAAGCACGAAGAGGGGTTCTTCTGGAAGTGGAAGAGGAAGAGTCTTCCATTTCCTTCCTCTTCCTTCGTGGAACGCTCCTCTTCCAGATTTTGGAGAGGAAGTTCCTCTTTTAGATCTGGAAGAGGAAGAGGTGGCAACTGATTCGAGGGGATGACAACGGGCGAGAGAAAGGACTACCAATGGTGGCGGCGATTAGACGGCGGTAGTGGTGAGGCTCATCGGAGAAGAGGAATGGGAAGAGAAGGAGGAAAGAGAAAGAATGCCAATCATCCACAAATATATTATCAAGTTAATAAATTTTGTCAAATCAGCCAATACAATTAGCAACTTAATTGCCATGTCATTTTAGTGTTAGTCAACTAACCGTCAAATAAGTTCAGGGACAATTTAGAACTATTTCTCAAACTTCAGGACTAAAAAGGTCTACTTTGAAATTTCAAGGACCAAATAGATACTTACTCAAAACATCCGGGACGAAAAATGTCCTTTCTAAAACTTTAGGGACCAAATAGACACCTACCTCAAACATAGTATATTTTACCCTATTTTCTTTCATGGATATGACTTCTGAAAATTTTTCATGCACAAACCATAAGAGATGAGCTTTTGAAACATATCCTTCTAGTAATGAACTTTATATACTGATAAGCGAAGGGCAAAAAAAAGAGATGAGCTCATGAAGCCATCGAAAGTAGTTACCTCTCTTCTTGAATCGTAGTAGTTACTTGGCTAGATTGCTTTTTTCTGTCAGAGAATATTACATCACAAATATATGGTGGGAATTTGAATTTACCCTCCCAAGATGCTCTTATTAGTTACTAGTTAGTGTGCATTGGCAGTCGCAAAGAGGGATTGTTGTTTGTTTCATAAAAATGGTACAAAATTATGTGAAAACACTGAAATTAGAGAGTGGTTACATATTTAGAGTAACCTGGTTGCCATTGTGAACTTTATTCTTTTGAATTTTTTTGTAGAGGAACAGGAAAAGCAAAAGGAGTCAGCTGAAGGAGATGATGTCCAAAATGGTACAGAGGGATAGTACGCTGCTCGAGGTTATTTGCTTGGGCGGTTAAAGTTTTCTATTTTCTTCTGGACAAATTTTCTATTTTGGACCCTATGGATACCCATGCAGAACGACTGAAGAAGTACGAGGTTCCCCTTGGTGTTACCATCCTTTCGGCATCGCCTTGGTCCTGTATCGACGTAATATGTGCAGACATCACATTAAGTCTCATCACCCTTTCGTTGTTTGGAGGCAACTTGTTCTCTGTCTATGTTCTCCTCGTACCATGAGGGATTCACTGTTGGAAGCCGGAAGTTGGAATTAGCAAAATCAGGCGAGGTGCAGTCTCCACGATTCTGTGATTGTTGATTTACATTTTACATTGCTGAATGATCAGTGTGGTTTCTTTGACTGCAACTAAAGTAAAATGAAGTTTACCGTTTGGTAAAATTTAGGTGCATTTGGTTGTTCATCTTAAACTATAAATATATTCAATGAAGTATTTCATGTTTTTAGTGTCGGTGAATATGTGTTTCTATTTGCAAATTGAAAATGGTAACCTTAAATATTTAGTTCAATCTAAAATATTATTAATTAATATATCTATTMAGATACATCTTTAACTTTTGTAATAATTTTATAATAATATATATTATAAAATATTGTGTTTTATCTGTTTTAATTTTAACCAAAAAAAATTTATAACATAAAATAATATAATCATTTCTATAGGATAAAAAATTATGGTACCAAATTTCATTTTAAGCTCTCTAGTGTGAAATTTGTAAAGAATTTTGGTGGTACATTTTGATTATTACCAATAAAATTATATATTGCATTTAACAAAAAAAATTATTTGTTTTAAGAAACATATTTCAAATCAAGTTTGAGTTTGTAAATTGGACTAAAATTTCAGGAAAACATAAATATAAAGTTTTATCCGGAGTAAAATTAAAAAAGAAGATTTGCTTGTATGAAAATGAAGATAAATTTTTGTGTAAAAACATTTTCCTCATTTAAAATATATTGTATTTATTAATAATATTTATTGATTTGGTTTAAGCTTATTGTTTAAATTTAATTTTCTTTAACCATATTCTTTTCCCTAAATGCAGTTGGCTTAAATCTCAACTTAAACTTGAGGTTATTCAAACGCTTAAACAAACACATGTTATCTAGGAAAAATTTCTAGTACTATGGAAGTATGAACACTCATTTCATTCATTACCTGTCACGTCAGCATCGTATAAAAAATGATGTGAAATGAATAATAAAAGAATATTTATCCCTGAAATACTAAAATTAAGTCGAACCCGTGGACCAAATACTCTCTAAATAGTTTAGATAGGTTTTGAAATTTGGAAAGGAAAATAAATTAGGAGAAGAAGAACCATTAAACCTTCCTATTTATGATGTCTAAAAAAAAACCCTCCTATTTATGAGGTCACTAAAACCCTCCTATGACATCATCTTCCTTAATCACACCAGAAACCCTAAAGTTCTTTCTCATCAAAACCCCCTTTTTTGTTCGTGAAACCATCAGCCCCCACGACCTCCATCGCCGGCGACGACCCGCAGCGGCGCGGCCCCGACCTGTGACGAAGCAGCGCACGAACCCCCTCGCCCTCTCCTCTCTCCGGCGAGGCAGCAGACGATCGGCGACCGACTGCTTGCGACGCTCTCCGGCGACCCACTTTCGCGTTGAATTCAAGCTTGAAGTAGCAGATTATAGGTATGTAATCTTCTTTCCTCAACAGCCTATAGCGCTGGTTTTCTTCTTCTGCAACTAATTTGTTCTTGAAATGTAATGGTTTTTCCATTTCCATTTTGTCTTGGACAGAATCTATCCCAGCTGATAATATAGAGTAGCTCGTAGCTCGCTGTAAAGGTCTTCAATATGGCGAGTGGACCTGGGCTTGAATCTCTGGTTGATCGTAAGCAATCTCACTTACAAACTCTCACACTGTTCGTTTTTATATGTATATGTAGTTCTTTCAGTGTGAAAATGGAGTAATTTATCCTACAACAATAATTATTGGACCTCTGAGGCGTGCAACTTCCTTTGATCTGGTTATGAATTGTTTTGGGCAATTTAGCAGTACCTATTTGTATGCTTTTTTGCTTGATTAAATGAAACCTAGAATATCATACATTTGGATAAAGAACAATTTCAAATATTAATTGGGATGTGGGGAGGGAGGAAATATTAGAACTATGATACATTCCATATGTAATATGTTTAACTTGATTAAGGGATACAATATTCGTCTCGTAGAGAGATGATCTGGAAATATACTGAAGAAAGCCTTGCTGTTAATGGGAGGACATGTGAACGAACTAAGTAAAAATGGCTCAGTAATTGTAAATACTTTGAGAAATTGATGTATTTAGCGTTCATTATTGAATTCTATATTGGTTGACTAGCTTTTCCTTTATTGTTACTACTCTTCTCACCCTCTTGTACTTAAATCTTTCCTTTAATCTTTTCGAGAAACAATATCGGTTATCACAAATGACGGCCGCAATATAGTGGTATGTTCACGAACCATCATCCAGTTTGTCTGGTATTTCATCATAAACAATTCGTGTTTATAGTATTTTAGCAGCTTATCAACGATACTTTATTCAGGGGGTGTTGAAAGGATTTGACCAGGCTACAAATATTATCCTTGATGAATCTCATGAGCGTGTTTACTCAACCAAGGTTTGTGTGATTACCATATAGCTGGAGTTTTCTACTTTCTACTACTCTTTCATCGATTGTTAGTTTAGACAGAAAGAACTCTTTCAATCTGTAGAGAATTCATATAGTTCATTTTCTGCTCTCTGTGGTTCTTCTGTTCTTATGTTATTTCATCTATTTGTGGATGTGTTTAAATGTTTCTTTAGAAAAATTTCTTCTGCATATATTATTTTGAATGTTTAATCAGTTACACCTAGCTCTTTTTCCTTGTGGGGGATTGCTATTTGTATTTCTTATCCCTTGAAAACTTGTTTAGAAGGAAAGTGGAGGATCTCAGTTTTCCCCTCATTAACAGAGAATATAATATCTTTCCTTCTTTCTTATACTTACTGGTGCTGAGCAGACCTTTGAGTTTTGACCATGATATCTGCTTCTGCTACTGTCTCTCTGTTTTTGTCCAAATCTCTAAAATACATACTTAGCTGAATGTTATTTATGTCTTCCGTTTATATTTAAAAATTAGAAGCATGAGCATACTTTGGTTAAACAAGGGGCGGGGAACGGGGACCCGCGGGAAAAATTGACATCTCTACATGAGATTTGGGTCACTTGAATCTCAAATCTCACAATTTCTGAATTTGATGGCTTTCAAGAGATTTAAGATTATGCATTTATGGTTTGAATCCCATTTTCATATCTCAATGCTTTCTCTTGATCTGCAGGAAGGCGTTCAGCAACTTGTATTGGGTCTATATATAATCCGAGGCGACAATATGTAACTACCATCTCACTTTTTGTTTCCTCCATGTACATAATTAAAACTTCACTCTCGATTCTATGAGAATTTTTATGAAAGATGCACACAGAACGGAGAAACTTCGTAGTTATTGAAATTCATAATGGGTCTTAATTTTTGCAGAAGCATTGTTGGGGAGCTAGATGAGGAACTTGATTCTAATCTCGACTTGTCAAAATTGCGAGCTCATCCTCTGAAGCCTGTGATTCATTAATTGGATCTGTTTATTCTGAGTCATGTTGCTTCCATTAATAAGTGAAGCTGTTTAAGTTTTTTGCTTTGACCTTTCATCACATTTTCCAGCTTGTTTATATAGCGGGTATTATTTTATGAATATGGATATTAAATAGGATATTTACAACCTGTTTGGTAATAGTTTTGTTTTTCGTTCTCTCTTTTTTCAAAGTAGAATTATGTTCGGTAACTGTGTATGGTTTATGGTTTGTATTGTTTTCTCGTTCTCTAGAATTTTAAATTAAATTTAAAAAAGTAAAAGTTTTATATGAAAAATAAAATTCCATAACTTTTATGTTATATTTAAGAGCAAAAAATGATAGAATAATGATTTTATCAACGGAAACATGAACCAAAAATTGAAACTTGATTTTGATATTTTTTAAAATCATACATAATTTTGAAAATTTTTATTGAAAATGAGAAATAAGAAATGGTAACAATTACCAATCTTAACCTTTTAGTGTCATAAAGTTAAGGGTCTGTTTGGTAACGATTTTCCGTTTCTTGTCGTGTTTCTTATTTTTTGAGAAAAAATAGGACTAAATTTTGAAAATTAGAAAAAGTAGTTTTGCTTTTATTGTTTATTTGTTTTTTTAAATTTTTAGTTATTTATATTTATTTATTTTTGTTATTTGTTATTTATATTTTATGTTTTTATATTTTTATAAAATATTTCTATTTTTCAAATTAAAAATATTTTGAATTTAAAGTAAATAATTTAGACTTTTATATTAAAAAAATTATACTGCAAATTATATTTTCTTTAGTAAGTTACATTTTTCGAGTATATGTTATATTTTTTATATTATATCTACTAAATTTTATTTTAACTAAAAATAAAAATAAAAGTTAAGACATATTCCTGACCAAGAGTTTGTGGGTTAGGACTCCTTACTTCCACAAGTTGTTGTACTAAAAGAAAAAAATAAGAAAAAAACAAGAAACAATAATGATTATCAAATTTTTTGTTTTTGTTCTTTTATATTAAGAAACAAGAAATAAAAATGGTTACTAAATGCATTCTTATTTATAGTTTTAAAATAATTAGAAACAAGAAATAGGACATGAGAAACAAGAAACAATAAACGAAAACGTTATCAAATGCCCTATTTTTTTTGGTGCATTAATATGAGCTTAATCGAATGGTTACAAAAGAAGCTTTCAATTGGGTTTAAATCGAGATTAATTAGGTTCTAATAGATTCTAGTTTGGCCCTTTAAACTTAGATAAATTTAATTTTTAAATTTTTGTAAGATTTTTATTAAATCGTAAATTCAGTTGAAAATTTAATCTCTTTTTTAAGTTGAGAATACAAATCAATCTCTTAGATCTCTTTACAAATTCTATAGCCACCTCAGGTTCTCTGCATAGGAGCCCATATGTTTCTAAAAATAACAAAATTATTCCATAAATAAGCATTTATTACATTTTTCAAAAACTGAGTATTTGGTCCTTACCCTATATTTATCTATAAATTACAAAAATATTCGATAACTACAAAACTATATAATATATTTTCAAAAAGAAAAAAACTAAACATTATGTATTCAGTAATAATTGAACGGTTTAACTTTTAAGAATAACAAAAATATAAAATTGGAATTATAGGTCGATTTTCATTTTAATACTTTCTCTTCAACTTTATAAATTTGTCGGGAATTCTCTACCTTAATGGATAAGAGAAGGCTGCAAGTGTCACAACTAATATAGGGAAAAGTAATTCCAGAATCTATCCTCAAGAACTTTTGATTCAAAATGAATTTGATGGAATGTTTCAAATCTACTGGGTTTAAATAGGTGATGATGAAGACGTGATTTGGTTTTACAAACATCAAGCTACTGAATAAATGCAACCTCTCTGCTTCTTGCCCTAGTTTTGAGAGAAATAACACACGGGTGAGTTCTATTTTTATCACAAATCGCTTTTGGTTGTTTTATGTGCTTACATCTAAGTCACATCCCATATTAACTCTCAACTAATTTACCTAATCTAACCCTTTTAGACCTAATCTAACCCTTTTAGTATTAGGCTTAGGCTTAGCAGAATTTCGGAGTGGCCAACTAAAGAAATTGCTTGAGATATTAGTTTGTTGAGAAGCTAAYCAAGAAAGCRYCATGCACTGCYTGGGTGTTTTTCTYCCGTGTTAAATTAAATAGATTTTTCTAAGRCATTTCACATAGGGGTTAAAAACTAAATTATTGCATAATGAAAGTACGGAAATTGCTCATTGAAATAAGATAACTACTTTACATTGATTGGAATTAAAGAATGACAAAGGTACAACAAGCCCTAGCTTAACATTCTTCTCTTCSAGACTTGAAGAGAGATAAAACTCAGCTAGAAAACTTGGTAAAATGGAATAAACAAAGTACAAATGAATTAGAACCTGAAACAAAGTAAAACAAAGCTTAACAAATGAAYTGCATAAAGACTAGGGTTCGAAAAGCAATAAAATGTAAAGATATAATAACAAACGAATTCTAAAGACYAGGTCGATTTTGATTGAGGAAGTTAATTTGAAAGATTTCTTTTATGCCCTTATATCAAAACACAAGTTTCGTTAAAAGCCCCTTAAAAAGCCAAGCCACTTCCTTCCTGCATAATGGAAAAATGTGAGTTTCTGTTGTGTTTATCCACCAAATATCTAATTTTATCGCAAAACATTCCGCTTTTCATTTTATGCAGAAATAATAAGTTTTTCTCCCTCTTTAATAATATGTAATCACATTTAGCAAAATATGAGAAGAAATGGGTCGTTTCCATATTCAAACATGTCCTGAAAATAAGCTTTTTACCATTAAAAATCAAAATCACCACACCTCCAAACTTAGCTATTTGCTTGTCTCCAAACAAAAGCAACAACTCAACTCCAATAAACAACATGCTAATTAATGGAGGAATGAACCACAATCCAAATTATTTAAGTGAAGTACTCATATTTTTCTCAGAAAGGACTTCAACCTCAAGCCAAGATATAAAAACCTTTCTAAATCCTCTTCAATTGTAAACCAAAATTTTTTTGCAACACTAAGGTATTGCACACTTTTGTTTTGTTTCAAAAGTTTTAAATAGAAAAGACACATGGACTGGCTACTAGCCTCTGAGGTTTTCAACATCCCAACATCGACTTCCAATCACATCCGCTCATAGAAACTCTTTAGGTAGCAACCTAGTCATAAAATGTCAACAATGGATTTTACGAAGTTACTCTAGACTGTACAACTACTACCCTCGAAGTTGCTAACGCCACTCATCCTAAACTACATGAGTGTCTAAAGTGGGATTCACAAAAATTAAGTTCATTTTCTTGCCGCTCTATTTTCTAACCACTCTTATCTTTCTCTTACTTTATTTTATCTTTTCCCCACTCTCTCTTTTTCTCTCGAACAAAAAGTAACTCTTTTTGAACTTCTTTTTCATACTTGACTCTTTTTGCAAATAACTTATTTGTTTTGTTTTTTCTATGAATCTTTTCGCAAAATATAAAATGCATGTTCTTTTTAGGAATTAAAAATAAAATAAATACACTAACCCCCAAACTTAAAGGGAAAGAGTGTACTCACGGGGAAAGAATTTTTGAGAGATGCAAAAATTTTTCAACAGGACAAGAACTTCCTATGTAATATTGGAAAAGTTTAACTTTAGAGGTCAAAGTAATAACAAAACACAGTAGGAACTCATACATGTCCTTAGTTATCCTCATCGACATGAGACACATACCAAAAAAAAAAAAAAAGACGACGATTCATAAAAATATGAGCATGCTTTTTATTAGAATATTGCTATTGCTTAAACAGGAGATAAACAAACAACATAGTTCAAAGGTGGATGCTATGTTCTGAATCGGGTTGCATACACTATTTTTCTTGATAAACTCGAAGTAACGCATAAAATCCAGCATGAATTCCTAACTAAACAACTGTCCTAACAAATTAAAAATGACACCACTAAACTAAAATAAAAAAACTTCTAAAGACATAACTAAACAAATCAGGAACAAAGCAACATGCTGTGAAAGAGGAAACAAGGGTCAGAGCACTCCCTCGATTGATTTAATGAGTAAAAAAGAAGCTGCAAAACAAAGTACCTAGCGCTATTTTTGTACATTCTACGATTCGGTTGCGTTTCTAAAATTTATTCAAAACTAGAAGTTAACCCTAAATAAGTCAAAATGAAAATAAGAGAATAAATTAATACAAGCAAATAATGCAAAAACTAAAAAAAAAAATTAACAAAACAAAATAACTCTCTCTCTCCGTTCTAAAAAATAAGGAGAGGGTGGGTCGTTGATTCGCTGAAATCCCCTCCCCATCAAGGTGGTTCTAATCTCCAAGGCTGAACTGCTTCACCCCGGTTATACCTCCAAGTAGTTGTCCTTTTGATGCCTTCTCTTTATGCTTTTTCTAATTCCGCTTCTCTTCCTTCATTAAGCAAGTCATCTAACTCGTAACAAGTTATACCCTTTTCAATGTCAAGTGCTGTACATTCCTCCATATCATGTGGATATTTCATCGCGTCCAGAACATTGAAAGTCACCTCTTCATCATTGACGTGCATTGTGACTTCTCCTTGCATTAAAGATTGTATTCCAAGTTGCAAGAAATGGTCGACCAAGTATGATTGGTTCTTTTAAATCTGGTTCACAATCAAGAACGATAAAATCCATAGGGAAAATAAATTTATCAACCTTCACTAAACATCATTTATTTTTCTCTTAAGTGTTTTAATAGATCAGTCTGAAAATTGAAGAGTTACAGAAGTGGGATGAGCTTCACCTATGTTTAATTCTTTTCAAAACAGATAGCGACATCAAGTTTATGCTCGCTCCAAGATCACACAAAGCTATTCCTAAGTTCTTTCCTCCTATCGAGCAAGGGATTAGTAAAACTACATGGATCCTTACATTGGACAATAGGGGTGTTCACGATTCGGTTTGGTTCGGTTTGGTTTTAGAGTTGAATCGAATCTGAAACCAAATATTAAAATGTAAAAAATTATAAACCGCGCTGAATCGCATTTACCATACCAATCGAACCGAACTGTCGGTTCGGTTTTTGCGGTTTTTGCGGTTTACGGACTAAAATGAAAGATGTAATTTTTCCTCGTTTTTTCTAAAACTTATATCACTAATAATA